CCCTGCTTCTGGCCACCCCGCTTCCGGCCCTCATTCAGCCAGGAGGAGGCAGGAGAAGAGGGAGGGTAAGTTGCTTCCTCCCTGCCTCTCCCCCCCCCTCCCTGCCTGGGGCCAGGGAGGGCCTTCGCAGGGCTTCCTTGCACTCCCGCCGGCCTTGCAGGTCCACCACCGGGCCCCTCATGGGACTCGGCAGTGGAGCTGCAAGGCCGACGGCGGCGGCCGGGACCGTTGGGGGCGGGGTGTGGGGCCTTATGACACACTTCCAGTGATGTCAGGGGGTGTGGCATATGCTAATGAATTCCCCTAGCTCTTTTTCTATGAAACGACCCCTGAGGAAAGTTATCACCTCAGAACTTGGGTGTGGAGGGGAAATTGTGGGAAGATGGCTGCCAGCTTGTAACATCCAGGCTGAGCGTTTTCTCTCTGTCCTGCTGTAGGTTATTAAAGCTCCATTGTTGCTGGATGTGTGAGCCATGGGACAAGAGCAAATAACGCTTGGTCCTTGGCATTTGACCCTTGGCTCACAGCTCATGGCCATGGCCTTGATAGACTGATCTCGTGGACACCAGCCCAGGAAATGCTGTTTACGCTTTGTGCTTGGTTTGTTTTTATACTGTATTTTACTGAACTTTGTTTAATCTCTTTTTGGGGGAAGAAAGCTGGATAAAAATACATTAAAACAACAACAACTTCAACAAACTGCTAACTTACCTTTTTGTAGGCATTGTGGAGATCAACATGAGACCATAATGAGTATAAGAGGATGGAAGCAGCTCTGCCAGCTTTGCTGAGGATAGTAATATCATCATCATCATCATCATCATCATCATCATCATCATCATCATCATCATCATCATCATCATCATCAGGTTCAAAAAGGGTTGCCAGCTTTGTATTGGGAAATTCCTGGAGATTTGGGGGTGGTGCCGGGGGTGGATGGAGTCTGAGGTGGGAGGGAGCTCACTGGATGTGTGGTGCCAACAGAGTCTGCCCTCTAAAGCAGCCATTTCCTCCAGGGGAACTGATTTTTGTAGTCTGGAGATCAGCTATAATTCCAGGAGAACAACAGGCCCCACCCAGAAGCTGGCAACCCTAGCTTCAAACATTAGTTACTGTACAATACTATGTTTAAAAGAACAATTTCACCCACAGGTTGGTAATTTAAATGGACACAGCCTTTAGAAAATAAGAGACACAAAAGGAAGGGTAATGCAAGGGAAGTGGCAGAGGTTAGAGGCAAAAGCAAGAAGGGCCTGGCTCGGCGCGGCCTGATATTTGCGGCACCGGGGAGGGAGGGAGGGAGAGGTGGCCGGATGCTGGGCAGGGGGTGGGGTTGGTGAGCGGTGGGGAAATCAGGTCCTCCCTCTTGTTCCCGGCCCAATAGTAAGCCCCAGGACGGCCGTGGGAGGGGAAGATTTATAAGAGGGAACCAGCCGCTCACCTCCCCTGCCCAGCCTTTGTCCTGCTTTCGGCTGGCGGTGGGGTCAGCCGATGCATCGGATTCGGTGGACCCATGCTGTGCCAATGCTTCTTACAGCTGTAATCAATAAAGTTGTGGCCAATTTAATCCACATTTTCAAAACCTGTTGTAAGTGTAGTGATTTTATACGAGATTGTCGGCATCTGATCAAACCTCTCCATCCCACTTAAGAACTGGAGCTGCAAGAGATGTGTTTTCAGTGGGGGAAGAAGAGAAGGCGCAAAGTTCAAAGAAAAGAGACCGCAAAAGACAAAGGGAGGAAGCAAGAGATAGAAGAAGTCACAGGAGTTTGGGTCAGGAGGACTATATCAGCAGAGCAGAAGTGACAAGAAGGTCGAAAGAGAGAAGGTAAGGCAGACAGGAGGGAGCTCAACAGGTTGATAAAAAAGCAGTGCCATCCTAAGCAGACTTACTGCCTTATAAATTCATTGAAATCAACGGACTTAGAAGGGTGTAAGAGAAGTCTGCTTAAAATGGCACCCCAAAAGTACTAACTGAAGCTGGGTGCAGTAAGGGCCAGGAAGTCAACAAAGGGGAAACATGGGCAAAACAAAACTACAACACAGAAGCTGAATTGACAATGGAAGAGAAAAAGTGGCAAAGCAGAGCAAAGAGAATCACAATAGTGAAGTGAGAGAAAAAAAGAACATCTTTGTAATAGAGGTCATCAATTTTAGAAGTATTTAAAGGTTAGAAATGCCACTTTTTTGCTGCAGCTTGAATAAAAGAAGAAAAAGAGAGAGGAGTTAAAGAGGACATCACTGTTCCATGTTTGGGAGAGGAGAAATAGAAGCATTTACTAAGAGTAAGACAAAAGGAAGAAGATACAACTATAGGAGAAAGAAGACAGAACAAACCACTGTTTTAGATGAGTAAAGCTTAAAGGGGGATGTTAGAAAAAAAGAGACAAATACAGGACAGAGGGAAAAAAGGACTAGAGGTTGCTAGCACCAAAGTGATATTGAATATTAAAAGAACAATTAATAGTACTAATAGGAAGGATATGGAAAAAAGGAGAAGAGGATCTAGAATGGGGAACTCCAGGCCCAAAACAGGGAAAAAGATGAGTTACTGTTAATGGGTACGGAAAAAGAACACTGAGAAAGATGAACCCTCACCCACCCATGGCAAAGAGATAACGGGATGATGAATGGTTTTGAAAGTTTAAAATAAGCAAAAGAAAAGAATGCTGACCATGTTACTTATGTATGAGGTTACTGAAAATGCAAGAAAGCCGATCTAGTGGAATTTCAAGAATGAAAACCAGACTGAAAGGAAACTAACTATGAACGAGGCAACTTGCTACACAATCCTAAGCAGAGGCCCCTTCTGCACTGACAGCTTGCTCTGGAGAATCTGAGGAGTCAAGCCTTAAGGGATGACTTCGCAGTCGCATGCACTGGTTTTTTTCTCCTCCGATTTATTTATTTGTGTATTCTGTATGCATTCTGCATCTACAAGCAAAACCCACATTTTTTGAGCTAACTGGCTGCTTTGTCTAGGATGAAGAGAAAGGCAAACATCTTTCTAAACTTTAACTGTAGACCCAGCCCCTCCCTCCCTCCCTGATTCTGCAAAAAGAGAGGGAAGGGAGGGGGAAATCCAGGCCCACACAGGCAAGACTGACACGTTTAGGAGCAGGGAATCCCCTAGTCCTTTATATTTACTTATTCCTTTTTATGCTCTCTCTGGCTTTTTTTAAAGTTTGCCTGAACGGGAGGACATGTTCTCTTTTGTCTTTGGAGAAGGAGAGAAAGAAAACAGAATGGGTAGGGAGCGTCAACCTAAAGAGAGAGAGAGGCGGAAACGGGAGGGCAGTGGGCAGCTCTTAAATACCCACAGAAACAATTCTACTTTAGAGAGGATTAGCAGTTCAAAAGTGGATGAGAACAAAGAATTGCAGCAAAAGGAGTTTTGGTAACTGTGGGGCAACATGTGCTGGAAACGGTCTGAATGCAGATTCCTGTAAACCAATTGCAGAAACAAGAGAAACCCCCGACACAAAGTAGAAGTGAAAGAGGGAGGGAATGTAGAATGGAAGACTAGGATGTGCTCAGAAACTGAGGCAAAATACGGTTGCAGAAAAGGCCAGAGTGGCACCCTTCTAAGTCCATTGCAGTCTTTGCTTAGAGTTGTAGTAAGTGCAAAAGTACAAATGTTTTAAATAAATAAGAAAATTGTAAGAGGTTAAAATCATGCAGTCGAAAAGGAAGCAAAGAAACAGCAAGACATTTTAAATAAAGTGATTGGAAGTGGATCCAGCAATTGTAGTCTTTGCTTAGAATTGCAGTCGTGTAGCATTTTTAAGTGCAAAAGTACAAATGCTTTAAATAAATAAGAAAATTGTGAGAGGTTAAAATCATGCAGTCGAAAAGGAAGCAAAGAAACAGCAAGACATTTTAAATAAAGTGATTGGAAGTGGATCCAGCATGTAATTGGTTTTGGAAAATAGAAAAGGAGAGCAACGTCATCAAACTGACAAATCCGACGAAGAGCAGGAAGGTGATTAAAAGAAACAGCAGAAGGAGCTGGCAGAGAAGCATGAACAGTAGAAATGTTATCAACAAAAAACTGACCAGCAGCCTGAGAAGAAAGAGAGGGAAGACATGATCAAGAAAGAGTAGAAACATGCCCTGACCTGGATAGCCCAGGCAAGCTCGATCTCGTCAGATCTTGGAAGCTAAGCAGGGTCGACTCTGGCAAGTACTTGGATGGGAGACCTCCTTGAAATACCAGAGGCGGGAGGTGGGGGCCATTACTTTCAGGTGCACACACACATGCACATATAAAAATACCAAAAAAGAAATAAAAAGTAGAAACGCGAAATCAAAGTGCAGAAACGGATGCAGAAGAAGAAGAAGAGATTGGATTTATACCCCACCCTTCACTACCTGAAGGAGTCTCAGAGCAGCTTACAATCCCTTCCCCTTTCCACAACAGACAACCTGTGAGGTAGGTGGGGCTCAGCGAGCTCTCTTGAGGACTGCCTTGAGAGACCAGGCTCTGAAAGAACTTATGACTGACCCAGGGTCACACCGGCAGCTGCATGTGGAAGAGTAGGGAATCAAACCTGGTTCTCCCAAATTAGAGTCTGCACTCTTAACCACTATACCAAACTGGCAAAAGGAAATAGTCTTGTTTAACAAAAGCAAAAGGAATAGGAATCAAAAGGAAATAGTCCTATTTCACAGACGATCAAACAAAAACTAATGAAAAATCTAAAATGTATAGGATCATAAACAGTGGAGAACACATACAATGCATGCTAAGCAGCATTAGAACAGGAGAAAGGCTGGTGAGGAAATAGATTTAACCAGGGATGAGAAAAGGAAGGCCAATAAGGACACAGAAGAAGTGGAGCAACATATGAATGCTGCTGATAATGTAGCAGAAAGCGAAGCAGATGCAGAATCGGCTGGTGGGAGTTCACATGGTGGTGGAATGGTGTCTTATCACCCCTCCCCCCATTTATATACATACAAAAGCAACACATCATGAAAAATCCTCCTTGTTCCACCTTCTATGTGCAAAGATTTTTGTTTTTGGTGCTGAGGAACAGCTTATCATTTGGAATCCCGCCTGCAATCTGGATACAGGCCAGACACAAGCTTACCAGCACACGATGGAAGCAATTCTTCCAGTGAACTAGGGAGAGACAAGGGGGGGACCCGCGATATTCGCGGGAGAGGGGGACCTCCACACCTATGAGGAAGAGGAGGAAGCAGGAGGAGGAGGTAAGTTCCCCCTATCCCGCCGGTTCCCCGTCTCCTCCACCCCCTG